GATGACGTCACACCTTCCCTTCGGAAGGCCTGATGACGTCACACCTTCCCTTCGGAAGGCCTGATGACGTCACACCTTCCCTTCGGAAGGCCTGATGACGTCACACCTTCCCTTCGGAAGGCCTGATGACGTCACACCTTCCCTTCGGAAGGCATGATGACGTCACACCTTCCCTTCGGAAGGCTCCCTTCCGAAGCTTGGAAGTACCCCTCGCGACACGCGGTGACGTCTCGCTTATATCCTCTTTTCACTCTCAGATCTCACTGGACTTTCATCAAAAGTAAGAAATCTTTGATTTCGAATGTTTGGTTGTGTTTGATTTGGTGTTTTGGACTATTTTATGTTGTGGGTACTTCATATTTGGATTGTTTTTGTGTTTTAGAGCTTTGGGTTTCTTGTTCTGTTACTGATTTGTGATTGTTATGCATCTTTACGTTTAATTTGTTTCATAGCAATCTTACCTCTGTTATGCTAGCTAGTGTTTGCCTTAGTGATTCCTAATCTACTAGATGTGGCTGTTTTGCAAAAGGCACGACTGTTTGTGCATTTATAAGTGTCTTCATGAACACTGGTGGTTTGGGGCTTTCATTTGCATAGAACTTTTTGTTTTTTAGGCATCTATAACTTAGAAATCAAAGTGTGTCAGAGAGTCACAGTCGTTATTAGTTGCCAGTGGATCTTTGCACGATAGACATCTTGCTGGATAGGTTCTGCATATCCAGGCTCTGATTTATTTATATAAAAAAATGTGGAAGCCTTTATATTGCTCACGGAAGAATTTGTGATTTAAATAAAGGGAAGGATCCTAGTGTACTCTGTGAATCTCTGCACAAATTGATCTATGAACACTACGTCCTTCACCACTCGTAGTCTATAGGAATATTTTGTTCTGTTGCTGTTGTGTACAACATCCACAGAGACCTGTCCAATCCTCTTTTAGACCACTGTCTACAGCAAATAGTCAGTCTCCTTCTCAAGTTAATATCTCGTTGTCACATTTACTATTTTGATTTCAATGTTCAATTGGAGTTCATAGACGTGTGAGTTTAGCTAGGTAATGTAACAGTGCTCTGTTATAACTCATAAGATGAAGTTGCCTGCCAAGGTTTTTCTGATTGCGTTTTTGGGGGAATTGTTTTCTTTCTAACTTCAACATACTGTTTGTGCTCGCATGTTCACAATATTCTCCCTGGAGTTCTTCCTTTTTACCACCACTAGAAAAAAAAAATCTATTACCACCACCAGAAAAAAAATCTATGGTATTAATTTCCTACTTTCTCTCTCTCATTTTGTTTTGAAAAATCATTTCCAGTTTCAATCAGCAACTGGGCTTTCATTGTTTTTTCTCTTCTTTCTTTTTTGTTTTTTGGCTTCTACTGTACATGATTGTTCCTTTACCTTGGTTTGTGATGATCAGAATTCGTGTCTTTTTGAAAGGCTTATTTTTAGTTTTTGGTACTTCTTAGGCCTTTTTCAGGCATCTTTTCCTAAGCTTGGGTACTTCTTAAGCCCATATCTATGTTCAAGGTTTGTCTAATGCTTTAACTTTATTCTTTCATCAATGATTTTTATGGAGACCCCATAAGTAGAAAGTTTTGGTGTGTGCTCATTTCAAGGATCAGTTCTCAGAGGACGGATTTACTTGTTGCAGTATCAATTCTATAAAGTGGTGGGAATCTTTTGTAAAGTTCTCTAACTCGGTTCTGATTTCCTTGTTACAGAACCTCTACTACAGATGGGGTGCAAAATTGACTCCACAAGAGGTGGCTGACAAAGTGAAGCACTTTTTCAAGTACTGCTCCATTAATCAACACAAAATGACCGTATTAACACCTTCGTATCACGCCAAGGTATGAATATGATGACCTTAAGAAACTAAGTGTAGACTAGAATGTCTGTGCTATGAAGCTTCTTTCTGTATCTCATTTTGTTTAACTTCATGCAGAGTTTTTCGCTGGAGGTTTAACTTCATGCGGAGTTACTCGCCAGATGATAATTGGTTCGACCTTCGCCAAAGAATTTACTTAACATATTTACACAGTAACATGTAACCATATTTATGTTTAACAAGTACAGGAGCATAAAAAACTCCACCCTAACTAATGTAAGTACTCGACCAGACCCAAATAGGTTCAAATAGAAATTAAAGGTTTCATCAGTCCAAGTCGTCAACATGTATGTGATCTACACCAAAAGTAGGGTAAGCATTGCATATGTTCATTTTTCCAGCAATGGATACCCGGGTGAGGTTTTAAGTTAATTACGTTTCATTTTAATAACATAATTAAGTTAAATAGTTTTGCAAGTATTTAAAATGATTTAAATAATTAAAACTATTTTTACAATAATCGTCAGATGTGAATAATTGTGTAAATTAATTATTAAATTTAAATCTTAAAGTAATTTAATATAATATAAATAATTTAATACTGTTTAATTATTCTCAAAATTAATTTGAATGTTCTTGACCATTGAGCCCGTACATTCTCGAAAAAAAAAAAAAGCCATTGAGCCCAAGCCACGGTTGGGTTGGGCCTTTGCAGTCCTCGTTTGAGCCTCTGCTATAGAATACGATGATTTCCATCACTATTTCTAAAGCTTTTACCATGTTGCAGATTGCAGTGCAAGCGCTGATATGAAAACCTTGAGAAGAAACAAGGAGGGAATCTATAACACCGCTCAAAACTATCATAGAAAGTTCTCAGCCATCACCAGGGTCGCTAGAGCTGACAGACCCAGACCCCAAGAATGCCTTGTTTTGGTGGAGGCAAGGGACACTTATACTCCACTTCTGCATCAAATCTTGCAAAGCTGTGCAAAAACAGGTGCACCCATGGAAGGTAAGGCCTGCCATGGACAGATCATACGTGTTGGATTGCAAGCAGACACTTTAACATCTAACATGCTCATCAACATGTATTCTAAATGCAGTTTAGTTGATTGTGCTGGCAAAGTTTTTGATGAAATGCCTGAAAGAAGCTTAGTTTCATGGAACACGATGATTGGGTCACTTACCCAGAATGGGGAGGAACAGAAAGCTCTTCGTCTTTTCTTGCAGATGCGAAGAGAAGGAAACCATTTTAGTGAATTCACTGTTTCGAGTGTTCTTTGTGCTTGTGCTGCGAAATGTGCTGTTTTTGAGTGTAAACAACTGCACGCTCTTGCTGTTAAGTTAGCAATGAATTTAAATGTCTATGTGGGAACTGCATTGCTTGACGTTTATGCAAAGTCTGGTTTGATAAAGGATGCAAGCAGTGTGTTTGCGTCTCTGCCAGAGAGGAGTGAGGTTACTTGGAGTTCGATGGTAGCCGGGTATGTGCAAAATGAGCTTTATGAGGAGGCTTTGATGTTCTTCCATAGAGCTAAAATGATGGGGTTAAAACAGAACCAATTTACAATTTCTTCTGCTATTTGTGCTTGTGCAGGTCTGGCAGCTCTTATTGAAGGGAAGCAGGTGCATGCCGTGTTATATAAAACTGGATTTGGTTTGAATATATTTATTGTTTCCTCTCTTATAGACATGTATGCAAAATGTGGTAGCATTAAAGAAGCTTACCATGTGTTTCGAGGTATGGATGAGACAAACACTGTGTTGTGGAATACCATGATTTCTGGGTTTGCTAGACATGCTTGCTCCCTAGAGGTGATGATCTTATTTGAGAAAATGCAGCAGATGGGTACATTCCCAAGTGAAGTAACGTATGTTTCTGTATTAACTGCTTGTAGTCATATGGGATTGGTTGAAAGTGGAAGGAAATACTTCAACCTCATGATAACAGAACGCAATTTGTCACCGAATGTTGTTCACTATTCTTGCATGGTTGATCTTTTTGGTCGCTCAGGGTTGTTGCTTGAAGCCTATAATTTGATAGAGGAAATGCCATTTGATGCCACTGCTTCCATGTGGGGTTCACTGTTGGCTTCTTGTAGGATCCATGGAAAACTTCACTTGGCTGAGGTAGCAGCTAAGCATTTGTCTGAGATAGAGCCTAATAATGCCGGAAACCATATTCTGCTGTCAAACATTTATGCAGCAAATAAGAAATGGGATGAAGTTGCAAGAATAAGGAAACTTCTTAAAGAAAGTGAGTTGAAGAAGGAGAGAGGGAAGAGTTGGATCGAAATCAAGGACAAAGTTCACTCATTTATGGTTGGAGAGAGAAAGCATGCTAGAATTGCTGAGATATACTCAAAATTGGACTGTTTGATTGAAGAGTTGAAGATTATGGGCTATAAGACTGAGACTGAACATGACCTTCATTATGTGGGAGAGAACAGAAAACATGAACTGTTGAGGCACCACAGCGAGAAACTTGCTCTTACTTTGGGGTTGATGTGCTTACCTTCAAATGCATCTATTAGGATCATGAAGAATCTTAGGATTTGTGGTGATTGCCATTCTTTTATGAAGATTGCATCATCTTGTACAGGGAGGGAAATCATTGTCAGGGATACTAACAGGTTCCACCATTTCAAGAATGGTTGTTGTTCTTGTCGGGAATTTTGGTAGAAGATTAATTTAATGGCTACTTATCCGGACAATTGGATATCAAGATACTTTTGGTAAGAAAGTGTACTAGATTTCAGAGATGTCAGAGACTCCTGAAATTTGGTCTTCTGAAATTGGAATTATATCTATGGGACCTCGCATTTTGAAAATCAAAAGGCGGGCTGTGTGAAAGACCTTCCAGTGACTAAAGGAGTAAACGTGAGCAAAGTGTTAAGAGACTCAAGGACTTTACCAGATCTCCTTACTTATCACCATTTTGAGCCCACAATGACATCAAAACTCATGTAGCCCCCAAATGACTTTACCAAAATGTTCCATTCTCACAATTAGCTTTGCAAATTACAGACTAATAAAAAAAGGTATAAAGGTTTTTGAATGAATTAGGATTTGGGTTGGGTTCAATTGGGCTTATTGGAAAATCATTACGCTTGATATATGTCCAAAATACTATGGGTTTGAATAGATGTAGGCTTTGTCGGTCTCAAGTTAACTTCATATCATATTATTTTAGGTCGGTCAATTAGGGGTGGGCATGATTCGGTTCAGTCCAATAGGTGATGTAAGCTGGCCATTGATTTGTTGAATCATGCAAAAGATGAAAAAGAGGGAAAGATGAAGAAAAGAAAGGAGAAGAAAGACCAAAAGAAGAAATAAATAATGAGGCACAACAAAACGAAGAGTTAAGTTTCACCAAAAAGAAAAGAGTGGGGCTAGAGTTGTTGTTACTTGGTTGGCATAGATTCAAACTAAGGCATTGGATATTAATGGC